ACATTCAGATTTGTTCATTGCATTGCAGGCTGGCTTGGAGGCAATATATTCAAGATGTTAACATAGTGTAGGAAAACATCCTCTTGGGCCATCTATTACAATGGACATAATAGATCAATTCTACTGCTGGGTTTCAGATGACAGCCCAACATTGTGTTCCTGGGTAACAGTACTTTTTCATCTTATAGTTGCTGTTTTGAGGACAATACAAAAGACTGCAATATAGTAGTTTCTTTGCAGTGACAAGGTCCTAATTTTTATTTTACATTGCTTGAAACCAGTCGAATGTGAAAGTGAAAGGTGAGCCACATGCTTGTTCCACAGTAAGACATTAAACTTACTACCTTGCATTTATTCAGTGTCAATTATTTTTACTGCTCAAAAATAAGTTGTAAAAGAAGCAGTCTTACTGTTTCCTGGCTCACCTCTTCACAGATCTGATCAGTGACTTGGCCTGAAGGCACTACCTACTGGTTTCCATGGAGATAGCTGAGATTAAAGGCAGAAAGCTTAACTGGTGCACATTTATATCAAAATGGTGATTGATCTAATTATCAACTTTAATGAACTGTTTCATCATTTTTTTAATTTGGTATTTAATATGAAAATACAGAACAATCAATGCAAAAAAAAAAAAAAAAAAAAAAATTCAGATTTTCTTTCATTGAATCTTAACTGAACAAATACAAGACACACTGATACAAACACGTGTTTTCAACTAAAACTAGAACTAAAGGGAAAATTATTACAAGGCCCATATTACGCTATCTTCTGATCTATATTATAATGTTGTTTCCCCATTAAAAACACATCTAGAGTTGTGTTTTGTTTCTTTCAAACATGTTAACGTAGAAATCCTGAATATAGGCTGAGTTCTCCTCTCAAACTGACACCACTGTATTCTAACTTCTGATGTCATGTTGTAATACAGGAAGTGCTCCACTGCATTTTTAAACTCCATACACCATCACCTGAATCATTTGGATCATTTCTGCCCCTCAAATTGCCAATCTCGACTGAACTAAAGGCAAAAGGAGCTGTTAATTTGAAAACTATTGCTGCATGACATCACAAGAAGCTTTGGAGATGTAGACAGACTAACAATAAAGGATTACTCAAACATGTGTGAATGAAACAAAACACAACTCTAAGTCTGTTTTTGATGAGGTAACAGCATTATAGCATGGCTTAAAGCGTACAAGAGTCAATTTCACATAATATAGGACCTTTAAATTAATAATATCATGTAACAATTGCTGCTCGGGCTGCCTCTCCAAAATGAGTGCCAACAGCTCCTCAACATTTGTCTTGTTTCCTCCTTAATCAAGTCAGATGTAGTTCTTTCCTTTTTCACTGAGCTGTGGCCAACATCAATGTCTTTAATGGCAGCCCATACAAGCAGGGCGTTGTATAAGACAGGAGAGAAGAGGAGAGAGGAGCTTGGTAATACAATGGGTTTCTTTTCAGTCAGCCTGGGGCCTTATCTCCTCTCAACACACCAGCCTGTGACTACCACTATAGGAAAGGATTTACAATGTGTGTGGAAATGCTGCAAGTTCTCGTTTTTTCTCTCCTTTTAACCCTACTGACACACAGAGAAATTTCCATACAGACACAATGGCCAGACCTGGGCCTTGTAACTTGCACAGAGCGTTCAGGAGATAGCAGCTACATAATAGAGTCCAGAATAAGGTGAGGGAGTGTGGACTGACAACATGAGAGACAAAGCGGCCGTTTTGGTCATTAATGGCATCAAAGGGGCTTCAAATTGGTGTATTATAGTGCAAAGAGTTCATCCCACCTCGCGCTATTCTTTGTGAAGTTTATCAAACCGGCCACATGGAGTGTTGCAGCTAACCCAGTGACCGCTCAACAAAAGGCCAAATTAAGAGGACTGAGACGGAGAGGTACAGAGGGGGTGACGGGTTGACTGACGCTGTTCCTGAGGAGAATAGCATCCTGTCAATCTCTGAGCTGTCACCTTGACGACAATGCTTTTCTTCAGATGCAACCCCCATCGCCAACCCCTGTCACTCAAGGCCACACAAACACATACCTTATTTTTCTTTTCAATATTTTTGCATTGTGTGGCAAGAAAAAAAAAGTGATCAGCAAGCAGAAAAAGTATTGTGGAGGAAGGCACTCTAAAACTTTTACTTGCAAGGTAAAAAAACAAGCTACTCATAATAAATCCACATGTACTGGAGCAATAAGAGTTACACTTAAGTTTGGGCAGAGGTGAAAAATCAATAATATTCATTTCTCTGTTCAAGACGCTGAGCAAATAGAAAATGGTCCCAGTTTATCTTTTTAACTTCTGTATAGTGGTCCTGCTTATCATTCCAACCTTTAACCCCTTGTAATTTGGGCACAATAGCATTGGCATTTTCTGTGCCTGATCTTGTCATATTTCAGAAGTTAAACAAGGCTGAGCCTGGATAGTAAGTAAGTAAGTAGTTATTTATGTAGTTCTTTTCACAGGGATATGTCACAAAGACGCTTTACAGAGCATTATTTATTCACTAGTAAGCTACTAGTATAGCCACAGCTGCCCTGGGGCAGACTGACTGAAGCATGGCTACCAATCTACACCCTTGGTCCCTCCAACCACCACAATCACTCATGCACACACCACTTTCATACTAGGCAATGTGGGTGAAGTGTCTTGCCTAAGGACACAATGGCAGTTTTTGCTACTGGTGCCCCACTGTGGCACCTGATTTTCCCAGTGGTCTCCCATCCAAGTACTAACCATGCCCGGCCCTGCTTAGTTTCTCAGACCTGACAGGATCAGGCTTTGACAAGCCAGTATGGCCACACATGGTTAGTACTTGGATGGGAGACGGCTTTGAATGTGGAGCACCAGTGGCGAAAAACTTTGTTGTGTCCTTAGGGAAGACACATCACCCACATTGCCTAGTATGAAAGTGGTGGTCGGAGGGGCTGATGGTGCAGATTGGCAGTTTTGCTTCAGTCAGTCTGCCCCAGGGCAGCTATGGCTACAGTAATAGCTTACCACCACTGAGTGTAGACTGAATGAATACTGCACTGTAAAGTGCTTTGGGTGTCTTAAATCCAAGGATTTAATCAATTATTAACAACATGATGCTGATGTAGTACATGTTTATTGTAGGCACTTATTATAGACTTACAGAAACATGGTAAGAGACAAAGGAAAAACACACTTAAGCAATGTTTTTAGACAGAGATACAATTCTATGGTTTAAAGTTACAAAATGCCAATCATGTTATGTTGCTACATACTAAAGTGACTGAAAGCAATATAATATTTAAGCTGGTATGATCAATAGTATTTTGATGGCTTTTGACATATGAGTCAGAAAGTGCAGCATTAGGAAGTGTATAGCTGGTGGACTTTTGTGAGACTAAGGCTGATGATACATTAAGTTCTAAAGTATTTACTTAGAAACAGAAACAACATGAGATCAGGATCACTGTTCAGTTCACTTCACTTGACTCTTTTGCAGTGTATCCTTATATATGTGTACTAATCTATATGAATGCAATTTCAATTTGCTAAATGAATGAATAACCAACAAAATAATTTTACATGGTCATTATCAATTTTAATTTGTTTTCTATTGTCTTTCTTCTTTTTGGATGTTACTCTCTGTGAACTGTTAGAGGTCCACTGAGTGTGTACTAAGTTGTATGACATCTGCCTCTCCCATTGCAGACGTAAACAAGGACATAAAGCAGCAATCCATTTTTTTTTTTTTATATATATATATATATATACATATATATAGTAAGGGTTATGATGCAATAAACAATTTCCACTTATTAAAGCACAAAGCAGATGAAAACATGAACCTTGAAAGTACAGTGCGGTGCAGATTTCTAAAAATCATTTATCACTGTGTGTATCATTTTAAAGTGGCACTGAGGATCAAGGACCAAGTTTAGAAGTCAGGTTGTATCAGTTCAGGCACAAATCTTATGCATAATTATATAAACAGTGTATCTGCTATTTATTAAAAATACAGTAAGCAGCAAAAACTAAGGGCCAAATAATAAGAGCAGTTTAAACTATTCTTTTGATAAATTTAGTTCCAAGAAAGTTGTAGAAAACATCAGCCTACTTACGTTTAGATACATATAAATATGCAAGCATAAACTGACCCTCCCTCACCCAAGTCTCTGAAGTATGAATGACTTTAGGTCTCATTGTCTTATAAGGGCTATACTGAATGCGTTGGTACAAGGAAACAGCGCCGCCCACGGGCAGTAAGAAGAGACGACGAGCAAATCAGCTAGTCTATCCTACAGAGTAGACCTCGCTTGACTAGGCATTGGCCTATTCGTGACAAATTAAATAAAGTAGGATAATGTCATATTCAATAATTTTATATCAGTATTAATAATATAGGCCTTCTTACTTTTAATTGCCTTGCAGGCTATATGTTCCAGTGATATGCATTGCATGTGGGCTTGTTCTGATTGTGGAATTAATAATGTTTAAAATATTGTATT